TAATTATAGTTCACGGCTATAAATAAAAAATCATGGGCCAGTAAATTAAAATGGTTTGTAATTTTTAGATGCACTATTTCTAGAGTCTGCAACCAAAAAACCCCTTCAAATACAGATTGTTCATTTCTCATCTGATTTGAGATGGCATAAACTGACCCCCGAGCTGCTTCCTTCAAAAAGGTTGCAATAAATTTAAGGGAGACTTACAATCCGGGATTGCTGTAGCAAAACACAGTGATTAAGTGTTTACCAAATTGTCGCTGTCTTATCTGAATAAGAGCCAGCTACCATCCTCATCCCACTAAAAATTTAGCTGCAACTAAATTTGTATTGCGAAAACCGCGCATGCAATACGTTATAAAAGGAAAATAAAATAGGAAGAGCTCTGGCAAACAAGCACTGTATCAAAAGAATATGAGAACGGATGGAATAAGCGGATAATGCTTAGTAATTAAGACTAAAATAATTCCATATAATTTAAGAAATATATAAGCACACCAAGAGACTAGACCACAATAAAGATGATGTTTTTGGATGATAGCGAGTAATGAGCGAGAAGCGATTTCTTGACCGCGTAGTGAACTCTCCGCTTAATAATTGAAAATACGAATTTTCAATAATGAAATATGAAAACGTAATGGACACAGAACCTATCGAATATAACGGAAAAACAGCTCATTTACGCCTCATGTTCAGCATTTTCATGGTTTTGATCATCAACGCGCCTTTCTTCGCAGGTGGTTTTTTCGCGTGGCGATCAGTTTTCGCTCCAACTGTCGAATTACGATTTACAACCGCTGTAGGTAACGTGGACAATGCAGCTTTAGAGCCTGTAATGAGGAATGCCATACTTTTCATCCAAAGTGTGCAGACCTCCCCTCCCACCTCCAGTCTCAAAGATCTTCCTGCGAGCACTGGATACTTCGATGGCGCTCGGCAAAGGACGGGACATATGTGCGATACCGTGCTGCATCTGGCGTCGTCTCACAGATAGGGGAGCTGTTGCATCAGCAAGTATAGTCTAGATGAGTCTTTTAGAACTTCCCCATATCGAATAGGATTCAAAATGTTAGTCACCTTCCTCTGTGCTTTGGTCGAGTCAGCTTGATGCATCTTACCAATGCGCTTACTTAGACGTTTCAATTTTTCCTCCTTTTCCTTCTCGAGGAAGTAGTATAAGTCCTTCCACGTCCCGTCAGAGGCTGGTTCTTCGCCTGGATACTTTTTGGAAACGAATTTTTCCCAGAGCTCACCAGAATCATCTTCAATGTACTGAAAACTTCCTTATGTGGTAGCCAAACAGATACAACAAACGCAAATGTTCTTAAAACCCAACACAAGTAAAGCTGCAAAAAGTCTTTACCGGATGCTTTGATTCTATGCTAGCAAGTTCTTCGTCAGTACATTTTTCAAGTACCGGCTTAAGCACGTCGTAAGGGATATATTCCGCATATAATAAAACTGTAATTTATTCAAAAATTAAGATTTCCTGGATGAAAATATTGAGTTACCTCCTATATTGTTGCCGAGCACTCTCAGGCATATATTAAACAATGATGGCACAATCATGGGAGTATTTTTTCGACGTCCAGCAAACACCTTACCACGCTCATTGCGAGGTTTGAACATATTCTCCGGATTGAAGTCATCAACTTAAAAATGCAATGATTTTGCTAAGTAAAACGACGAAATTTGAAAAGACGTACCAGGCGGCGCATTTGGATCCTTCGCTGCTCGCACAGCTTGCGGAAATGGTTGATAATTAGTCAACTAAAACGACGAAGGATCATGCTTACTATAGGATGAATCATGTATATAGAGTCTTGACATTTTAGCGTCTGATCACCTCATTATGGTTGGACACAGTTGAAAAGCACTCTATATATAGCAAAAAACAGTAAAAGACCACATAGTGGCCTAC